CCAAGCCGACGGCGCAACCCACGTCGGACCCCGAGTACCCGACGGACGCGCCAACCGACAAGCCGTCCAACGGCAAGGTTGCTCTCTACTACCAGTGCGGCGGCTCCAACTACAAGGGCGACACCGAGTGCGTCGAGGGCGCTCACTGCGTCAAGTACAACCCGTTCTACTTCCAGTGCCGCCCCGACTCGGAGGGCACGAGCGACAAGGTCGCGGCCTACATGCAGTGCGGCGGCAAGGACTTTATCGGAGCCACGACTTGCGTCGACGGCTACCACTGCGGCGAAATCACAGAGTACTTTTTCCAGTGCCGGCCCGCGGTCGAGTATGGCAGTCTCGAAACGACGACGACGGAGGACAACGACGAGGATGATGACACGACCCGCCGTCTCCGCCGTGTCTAAGCGTCGAGCTGTCTAGTCGTCTATAGATAAATGTGTTTGATAAACATTGCTGGTAACGGTCATGCGTCATGTGTACTCTTGGTTCATTTGTGTCAGAAGAGCAACTCCAGAGGCTCGTCAGCCGACGCGAAGATGACACATCTGTGTCACTTTTCGTTCGAGTGGTTTTATCCAGCCCCTTTTATGGGCTGTTTTCGCACTGAGGTTAGGGGCTTTCTCCCTCCGCTCGGAGGTTTTGCCCACCTCTCTCGTAGGTTGTATGTCCCATAATGTCCTGACAATTAGCCTGATAACGTTAAGACAATCTCGACAGGTGTTATGTCGGGTTATAAATGATATTGGTGGACGGTGAGCTGCCGCCCTGCTGCGTCACGCGTTGTGAGGGTCGATGATGACGAGGTATGGCGCTTCGGTTGACCAACGGAATTATATCGAAAGCGACTCGCTTCAACCGTACCATGATGAAGACGAGACGTGTAAACGTCGATAACGTTGCATTGAAGATGTATGGTCTTAGTAGTTGGGGCATTGGCCACACCGCAAGGCTACTGGACCCAAGGAGAAGCACGGCTGCCTTGGTACACCGCATGCCCACCGCTATTGATGTCTACTTGGATCGTGCCAACAACAGTCGGATGCGCCGTGGGCACAACAGGAAGATCCATGAACGCCAGCAGCGTCAAGCACACGCGGCGCGGCGGCGACGAGTCCACGATAACATAGCAGTCGGCGCTTCGTTGGCTCAGACACAAGTGGCGTCAGTACAGAGGCTGCTGAAGCATGAGCTGATGAAAGGTACCCCCAGCCTCCATCGTCCCAAGATGGCTGGAGGCTCTTTGGTGTCGAGAGCGTTGCTTGCAGACAGGGAGCGTCGCCAGTAGTAGCATGCACCGAGCTTTTATGTCAAAGGGTATCGACGCCGGCGCGTTGGCGAGTCGACGCAAATGCGGAAGCAGCAGACCCACTGCTACAGGCAAGAGTCCGATCGTCGCAATGTAAATGACGCAGAGAACGGCAGACTCTATCGAGTCGTCGGGGACACCGGGAAGGTTGGATCCCGCGTAAAAGTATAAGTCGATAAAGGCCAGCGTCTGCGACTGGAGGTACGTCAAAGGCCCTGCGAGCAGCGAGACTACTAGGGCCACCGACGTCGTGTCGAGAGCACTAAACTGCACGCGGCGCACCCTCTTGAGTAGCGCCGAGGAGACGCCGAGGGCAGCATACGCAAACCAAATAGTCCGCGAGAGGTAGAGCGTAGCGAGGCCAAAAGCGACTAGGTCGTAAACTTGGCAAACTCGGATCATGCAGCGGCAGAGGTAGTCGACTGAAAACAACGTGTCGAGCAAGAATGCACACGTGACAAATGGGTTGAGCAGCACGACGCTCGTTGGGTCGCCCACGAGAATCTCGTACGTTGACCCGCCATACAAACCGAAGGCGACGAGATTTCGCCGTAAATGAAGGTAGGTGCGATAGTACTGATACTACATGAGCCACACAATGTACGTAGTCATGACCGCGCGCATACCAAACTTGAGAGCACCAAAAGCGACGGTGAATAGGGGTAGCTGCATTGCGCCATACATCTCGACGCTTCCCGTCGTCGTATTGACGGCCCAAAACGCCGTATACGCTACGGGAATGCGAAGGAAGCGAGACACCAAGACACTGCCAAAGTCGTTGACGGCCAGCGCCCCATTGTCTAAGGCCATCGTATCACGCCGCAGCGCCACCGAAAAGTACTGCGAGAGAGGCATCCGCAAAAGAAGCGGGGTCGGGCTGTGCGGATCAAGGAGGACCGTTTGGCGGGTGACATCAAAGGCTGGTCCGTATGCGAACGCACCTCCTGGACGAAGGTGCTGGCTCTGGTTGCGACCGAGCATCAAGATGCGCTCCTTGCATGCAGTTGTGTTCACAGCGCACTCGGCAGTCCAGTCAGTTCGCACATTGGTCATCCACGGAAGTGGCTCAGAGATGTAGGCCTTCATTGGCCTAGCGCATGTGAGCAAGCGGTTCACGGACGACACTTGTATACATGATGGCGGCGTTTACGGCAAATAAGAGACTCGTCGCAACAGACCATTTGTTGAAGGCGACGCTGCGGCCGCTTCTCGGTGGACCACTCGCCGGTCGAACAGCCACCGACGATGGACTCTTGACATCGTCTGGTCCATGAATAACACGGAATCCAATTATAGCTGCACCAAAAATATGCCGAAAGCTCAACACCAAACCCAATAGCAAGGCGGTCTACTTTTTTTGACCGGGATCACCGCTGTTCAGCTTGAGCTCACTCATTCGGATGGTCCAGCACTACGAGCAGCAAATTCCATCACACTCTAGAGTCAGTCAAGCGACATCTCGGTGGCCAAGATGAGCTCGTCTTACAGCGACGCGCTGCGCCGCCGGCTGCGTCACAAAATACACTGGCTAGCCTCAGCTCGCAAAAGATAGCCAAAAGCAGGCGCGCCGCGCTTCTCTTGGCGCCGAAGCGACTACACTAGATATTATTCTGTTTTCGAGAACCAGCCAGAGACAACCAGTCGTCCAATGCTTCTTCTGGTCTTGATCGTTCGGGACTACCGTACATACTGGCAGAACCAATCTCGGATTCGATCTCGTCACCTAAGATTCCTAGTCCCTAAGATTTATCACATAAAACACACGGCAAGTGCAACATGAGAATGGTTTGTGCGCGCACCTCCATGTACTGTGCATACCATGCAACGAACGTCGTCCTGCAATCTCGACTCCTCCACGTTACACGCAAACAGATGGCCATCTCGTGGCCGTCTCGACCACACATTTCGTCCTGCTGTCCCACGTGACTCACTATACCTTGACGAACGGAACCGTGTTCGATCGCGCCACAACGACGCCACCTGCGATCACGCAAAGCACTCGTCTCGGCGATGCAAGAACGCTGCGATCGTCTCTCATTTTCCAACTCGCCTCGTTCTCGACACCATGGTCTCTCCTACTCTTGTTGGTCTGGCGCTGCTGGCGTCGCAAGTGGCGGCCCACGGCGGCCTCTTTGACCCCAAGCCGACGTTCATTGAGCCCAACAGCGACCCGACGCGCTTCTGCGGCACGATCGATGGCCCCACGTCGCTCCCCGGCTCGGCGTACAACCAGGACCCGGGCTACAACGCCGCGCAGTTTGCGGCCAACTTCAAGGCGAGCAAGTACAAGACGCTCAAGGCGTTCCTGGATGCGTGGGACACGAGCGCACAGTGCGGCCAGTGCGGCATCACCAAGGTCGACGCGGCCAACCCGCAGCCGCTGCCGAGCATCGTCAAGTGGCGCCACGGCGACAACGAGGGCTTTACGCCGTCGCACGAGGTATGCTATTTTTATGAAAAAAAACCTCACACACGTCTGTGACTAGGGTCCGTGTGAGCTTTGGTGCGACGAGACGCGCCTCTACTACAATGACGACTGCGCCAAGAACATTCCGGACGGCTCGATGCCCATCGACACGTCCAAGTGTTCGGGTGCCAAGCAGCTCACGATGCTCTGGATGGCGCTCCACACGCCGCAGTGGCAAGCTTACAGTACGTCGACACTATGTCCTTGTTGCATGAAGATTCGATGGCTGATACTTGTGTTGATAGAGAACTGTGTCGCGATTGGCAGTGCGGGTCCGAGTCCGTCGACGGTGAGCCCGAGTCCGTCGACCAACAAGCCGAACCCGTCCACCAACAAGCCTAACCCGTCGACGAAGGCCCCGACGCCCGCTCCGACGCCCGAGTACCCTACCGATAAGCCGACCACCAAGCCGACCACCAAGCCGACGACCAAGCCGACCACCAAGCCGTCGACTAAGCCCACCGACAAGCCGTCCAACGGCAAGGTTGCTCTCTACTACCAGTGCGGTGGCACCAACTACAAGGGTGATACCCAGTGCGTCGACGGCGCTCGCTGCGTCAAGTACAACGAGTACTACTACCAGTGCCGCCCCAGCTCGGAGCCCAAGAGCGACTACGAAAGCCTCGAATCGACGACCACCGACGACGACGAGGACGACGAGACGTACGACGACGACGACACGACCCGCCGCCTCCGCCGCGCCTAAGTAACGAGCCCCTCTCGTCGTTTCTACATGTATGTGTATGCATGCCGTCGCTAAAAGCACTACTAACATAGTTTGTACTGGAAAGCGTTGTGTGCGACTTGATCGTCGAGGGCTAGGGCTTCAATCGGGTTCCTGAGAGCAGCTCTCGAGTCATTGCGTCGCGTCACGCTTGAACCCCTCTTTAGGGATAGGGTTCTCGGGTTTCGTGGGACACCTGTAGATCAAGCAACTAGCATGCAGCCGCGAAGTACGAAGTGTGAGTCGCGACACTCCATCGGGCTCATAGCACGATACATGTGAGCACGCTGATGATGCAGCAGATTAAGGGCATCGTTCGAATTCTCGTATTCTAGTATCGTGGACGAGCTCCGACTGAAGTGTTCAACACTCATCTAGCATGCAAATATGTGATGTTATCTAACGTTATTTCTCTTTCGTTTACATTCTAGTACAAATTTCAATTCTCAACTAATCAAGGTCTTTCAGCTGTGTACTCACAAAGAACGGAAGATAGTATTATTCACAGACACTAAACGTGTTAAACACGGCGGAGGCGCGAAGACGCCCGACGGCCCGAGACCGCCGTCCCACTCCAAAATTTGTTTTCGAGCTTGCTCTTGATGTAGCAGAAGCCACCGTTGATCGTGAAGCCCGCGCAGCCACTGGTCGCCGAGCACTTGCCACAGCAGTCGCTTACCTGGCTGTTGGCATCGCCGCTCACCGGGAACCGGCTCATGTCGTTGCCGTAGTAGTCGGTATTGGCTTCGGTTGCTCCGCACGATGATGCACCAGCGCCGGACCGGGTCGCCGAGACTGCCGTCGCGCTCCAAAACTTGTTGGCCATCTGGCTCTTCATGTAGCAGAAGCCGCCGTTGATCGTGTAGCCCGCGCAGCCGCTCGTTGCCGAGCACTTGTCGCAGCAGTAGCTGGCTTGGTTGTTGGCGTCGCCGCTGACTGCGTACCGGGTGATGTCATTGCCGTAGTAGTCGGTGTTGGCCTCGGTCGCACCGCAGGAGCCACCGCTCGACCCGCCACCGCTCTTGGTGCCAGCGATACCGCTGCTGTGGCTCGTGCCGCCGTTGCCCGTCGAGTGCTTGAGGTAGCAGTTGTTGTAGGCCACCGTGAACGCCTTGCAGTTGTTGTCGCTCTGGCACGACGCGCAGCACTTGTTCACTTGGTCGTTCGTGCTGCCTTGGACGCCGAAGCTGTAGAGGTCGTTCCCAGAGTAGTCCCAGTTGGCCTTGGTAGCGCACTGGCTGTTAATCGGTGCAGGGGCCGGCGCTGGGGCCGGGGCTTGGCCGATCTTGGCCGCGCCCTTCGACACAAAGTAGCCTTGGTCCCAGAGAGATTTGAAGCCATCGGGAAAGAACTGCCCGGCGCCCGGCCCGACCATCGCATCGCTTGACTGGCCGTAGCACTGCCCGTCCGACTCGCCGGGGACCTTGAGCCAGAGGAAGTAGTCGACGAGCGGGTTGCCCGTATTGTCTGTCGGTGGTGCGCCAATGCCACCCGACCGCGCGTTGCACCACTCGTTCTGCGGCGACCCGTTAAAGTTGCGCGACGTGTCAATGATGCAGTGGAGACCGCCGGTCTGGCTCGAGTACGACTGGCAGGCTTGGACCATCTCGTTCGTGCTCTTGTAGTTAGACGTGTTGATCGCGATACCGGAGAGCTTGCCGAGGTTCTTGAGGGCCTGGACTGCGTTGGCCTGCGTGGACCAGCCGGCGACGTCTGCGTAGATCTGCGCATTGCTGTTCGCAGCCAGGATGTTCTTGCCGGCGACGAGGTTGCCAGCGTACCCGTTCTGGACGGCGCAGTTGTTGTTGGAGAGGAGGCCGATGGCGTCCGGCTCGAGAATGTAAATGACCTTGCGGTTGCCGACCTTGTCGGCCAGCTTTTGGGCCCACGCCTTGTACTGGTCAGTGTTCTTGTTGTTGCCGCCGCCCGACCAGCCCGACGCGCAGTCCTTCCCGGGCAGACCGTACACGATGATGACGGGCGTGTCGTTGGGACAAGCGGCCAAGAGCGCGTCGATCGAGTCGCCGCCGTTGTCCGTGTACCACGTCGCGACCGCGTACTTTTTGAGCTCGTCGATCGCAGGCGCAAACTGCGCATTGGCCTGGACTGCGGCCGTGTACGAGTAGGGCGCGATGCCCTTGCAGATGGCCGCCGACGTGGTCGTGATGGCGGTGGCGGCCAGTGCGAGTGCCAGGCTTGGCTTCATGGCTGTCGACTGGTAGTCAATTGAAGAGTGAGGGCTGTGATGCATCCTAACGAACGCAGTATCCAGCAAGTCGCCGGCCCCGACCATCTGTGCGCCATTAAGTTGGGTCACCGTTCCGCCTTTGCATTTGGTCGGCGGGCCATATCACTTGCAAAGACTCGGCAATGTGAAACGCGAAGGCCATTGGTGCAAAAGCCATTAAATGGGCCAATCACATACGACGTGACCGCTCGGTAGCCAATCCAAGCAGCGTTTCATTTCGACGTGCGCCAGTCGACATCAGATGCCTCACACGCTGCTCGCATGTATCGCGCAAGCTGTCGTGTAGTCCTTGACTAGATCTCTCATCACTCATACATAACTTCTTTGTCATCGCTACTAGCGGCGCTAGGTGTATCGAAAGCTATAGACAATAGCAGTTGGGATTCCAGCGCAAGTAGAGTCGGCACCCGTCATCAACGCAATTTGCTGATCCGATTGTTGTACTCAGCGGCGGCTTGCGACGTTGATGTTACTTCGCTTCGGCCTGCTTGTCCTATCATCCGCATTCAAGTCGCTATCGACAGAGACCCCTCATCGAACGTGCGACTGACAGTGCGGCTACTCTGCGACCGCCCCACAGATCCAATACAGTGTACACCTAGGACCCGGTACACCTACCAACCAGGGTCTTGCTGCTACCTGGTACCTAGTAATGTGGTCCGATACCCAAAGTACGAGTTTGCTCTCGCTCAATAGCTAGCGCGATTGAGGTGTGGACACCGGTTCGGAGAGAGGTCAAGTATAACGCAAGTGGGGTCACTCGCATTCTCACAACTTGTGCAATTATCGAACCGCCTGGTGTCATTGACAGTAGCATCTCTACCTCGATCGACGATGCGAACACGCCCCATCAGCGTTCCGCTCCATCGCATGACGTTCGAATCGATGCAAGTTGACTTCCCAACAAGCATCGTTGCGCTTCGCGTCCCACCTCGGATATCAAGATCGCGGGACCCAATATCCAAGCCGTCCCAGCAAACCTTATCTCTGTCAGCCACTTGGGTCGAAAATCTACATCGAGAGCAAAACGGTTCCGGAGAGTCTCGTTGCGACTACGTCGCCGTGTCAGTTTTGGTGCTGCATCACCTCGACACTGGCATCTCGCACGCCACTGCACGGGTGGTCTGTGATTGAAGCCACGAGAAGAAGCCTATCGTCTGACGTCCTTCTTGCCCGAAGAATGCACACGCTGCTTTGCCAAAGTTGCACATCCTGGAATGGGCTGACGATCGCGCGATTGTTTCCGCTAAGTTCGTATTTTGCGTCCACCGTGAAGGATTGCCCGATTAAGTTCGATTTCAACGGCGGGAGATGGTACGAGCGCTCGGACGCGTCTAATGAAGCGAGTGCTCTATCCAACGGTCGACAGAATCGAATGCAGTGTCAAGCAAGGCCAACCCAACGTTGCAACTAGAGCCCGGCCAAACACGACCCTGTCCGCGCCGTCCCGGGCTCTCCTCGTAGACACAACAAAAGATAAGAAGCGTGTCTTATACCAACTAGGCAAGCAACTTGGCGTCGACTTCAAGCACCAAGTCGTTCCATTCGACGTGGTAGAGCCACACAAGGCCATAGACTGCACACATTGAAAAGCCGGTGCAGACGCCGAGCCAGAGCCCGACGATCCCGAGGCCGCACGAGACAGCGAGAAAGCGGCCGAGCGGGACGCCCACGACCAAGAACGCCACCAAATTGACCCAAATGCCCTTGTCCGGTTTGCCTACATTCATTGCATACACTAGTTCATAGTATATGACATGGTATACCGCTGCCACGAAAGACACCTTGGATCGTTGCCCAGATTCCCATCGGAATCTGAAACGGCGCTGTGATCCAGAACAGGTCCTTTGCAACCCTACCCATGGATCATGTGACGTGGCACTATGACACGACAGAAACCGACTCGTAGATGGCCGGGTCGCGCGTGTAGCTCGTTGTATAGTACGGGCCCACGACACACATGGCCAGCATCGTGAGCAGCGCCCATGTGACCGCAAGCCCGACGGTTTGCCACGCGGCAATCTTGGCCCGGCACGGAAGATTCCCGCCAAGGGCATTCCCGACGCGAATCGATCTAGAGAGGCAGTGAGAAGGCGTGGACACGAGTGGACGACAGTGTACGCGGCCATGCCGATGCCCAAGAAGACCATCGAGAAGAGCGTGCGGAAGCCCATGTAAATGTTGTTGGCGCTCATGGCCACGTTGGCATGTGGGAGCCCGCCGGCGAGGAAGGAGGTGAGCGCAACAGCGACAAACTCAAACACAAACATGCCCCAGCCGTTGAGACTAGTCGACACCACATGCGTCGAGTCGCAAGAAAGAGGCGTCTACCTGAGCGAAATAAAGTACGGAAGCCGGTGCAGCACCTCGGACATCGCCCAGCGCTCTTGAAACGGGACGTGCGGTAGCTTGCGCACCTAGTGCGCATCAGCTACGTGCATACGCGCCGAGATTACGCACCGCGGGCACGAGCGCGAGTGCAGCAGTAGCAAACACCAACGCAAAGGAGATGGCCGAGCCCATGTAGCCCTACTCACGCGACGTGAGACGGAAGGTTTGCTCGCTACGACCACGTACCATTGACGTGTGGTACATGAGCCCATATGACGTTGCGACGTTGACCACGTTGGCGAATCCAATGGCAAACACGATGGGCAGCACAATGTTTTGGCCTTGGAGCACGCGTTTGAGGATCTCGTACGCAAAGCTCCACGGCAGCTCGAGGATCATCCAGCGCGTGAGCGATTGCGCGACGCGCGCAATCTAGACCCAACCGTATCAAGTTGATACTCTCATACAAACGCAATGCGGACCTCGGGCGACTGGCCCATCCACTCGAGAAAGGTGCCGGCAAATCCGAGCATAAGCGCAAGCGGTACAAACACACAGAGCGCGCACATGACGGCGGTCTGAAGCACATAGCCAATGTCGTCCTTCATGCCCTTCCCGTACGCTTGGGCGCAAAGCGCGTCCATGGCGGTGCAGACGCCAAAGACGAGGCCATAGGCAAACACCGTGTAGTAGAGGTTGCTCAGGCCGCCGGCCGCGAGGTACACTTGGGTCTCGTCGGCGGCGGTGGCTACACAATGCATGAGGCCATAGCGAGCCCAAGCTGGCGCTGTACAGAGATGGCCGAGAAGCATGCCATTGAGCGTGTTTGGCACAAACTCGAGAAAGTGCACAACGACCTAAGGGCAGGATGAGGGACGCGCAGGGCATGGCGCGTACGAGCGGGATGCCAAGGGCAAAGACGTGGCGCAGCTCGTCCTTGGAGATGGGCGCGGGCGAGAGCAGCGGGTTGAACTCGCTGTCGTCGTCCTCGTAGAGCTCAATGGACGCGCGGGCTTCGCGGAGCATCTTCATGCTGCTGCTATTGTCGCCCCAAACACCAAGTCGGAGCAATCTTTTGCCTGATTGGGCAAAATGGGATTTGCACCCACGCACCAATCAGCAACGATCACCGCGTCGATTGGCCATAAAGCGTGAGTAATGTATCCAATGACGTGCATGTCTTTGGGGCGCGGCGCCGGATTGGCCAGCTCCAGCGTACACCATTTTAAATCATTCAAATAGTGTATGTATTGGCCGATTGCATTCAGCACATCGTTGCTAAATTCGGGATCGTATGCCGAATTTAGCAGCGCCAAGCCAGGTCCCATAAATACAGACTGGGACTGGCCCGTCCGAGCTCGTGCAATGCATGCGATCATCGCAAGCTACCACCGTCCTGAGACCACTTCTTGACGAGGATCAGCAAGCGTGCTTCTCCAGCGCCGGGTTGACCAGGTCAAAAATGGGTTGGCTCCACCACGTGCACCGCGACTGCAACGACGCAGCGTGGCTGGTGCAAACGAATAACTCTATTCCGCTCTCGCCTACCGCTAGTCAGAGTCTAGAGCTTGTGCAAGCGGGCCGCGACGGCTAAAGGACCATCCGGTAGCTGCCTATCAACTGGCAGCTGCCGGCGTGGCTGCGAGAACGCGCGTTCCAGCCGCGCTTGGTGTTCCTCAATTTCCACAAGATGCTCGAATGAGAACGAGGCCGTCGAATGTGGGCCGACGAGATTCGGCCGGCATCTTCATCTATCACTCGGTCTAGCCTATCGCCATGGCCGCGACTGCTTCCGTGCATGAAGAAGGCTTGGCAGAGCATTTTTTGCATGCTGACGCCGATACCGACTGCAACGGCTGACATAGGACCATGTCTCGAGGCCACACTTCGTAGTACGACGGCAACTCCAAAGCGTCCAAAGCTCCCCGTGGCTTCCCCACCCAACAAGTCTCGCCCACATGTCGTTTGCGGCGTGTGCCACCTTTTGTAACACGGAAATAGTGTGTCTCCTGAAGTAGCGTGACAACACTACCACGGTGCTTGAAGCGTGTTTTTGTATCAATCACGAAGCAATGGACGCCGCCACCGACTCGGATGCGATGCTCGAGGCGTACGAGGCGACGCTGTACGCTGGCAAGTCGGCCGACGAGGTCGACGCCATCAAGACGCGCAAAAAGCATGCAACAACGGTCGCGGTCTGCCAAGCGATGCTGCTCCAGGAGACGTGGCTCGAGGACCCGTCCATCTCGGAGCGCGAGATCTACCTTTGCTACGCGACCGCGCTCGAGGGCCTGCACCGGCGCTACGAAGCCATCGACGTTCTCTCCAGCGCCATCGACATGTACTTCCCTGACGACCCGTCGCTGCTCCTCGCGCTCGGGCGACTGCAATTCAAGGCCGGTCACTACAACGACGCGCTCGCGCTGTGCGTGGCCGTGACCGAAATCTTTGCCAAAGACGCAGCGGCGTGCGACGTTGACACGGCCGCCGACGCCTACCATCTTGCAGGCTGGGTCAAGATCCACGGCGACGACCATACGCGCGCCTACAAGCTCTGGAGCGATGGCAGTCGAGCGATCCCGTCATGCCCCGTCCTTGCGCGGCAGCGCCGCAAGCGCCAGTGCTGGGACGAAGCAGCGGTCCATGAAGAGCTATTGCCGAATCTCGTTGGCGACGGCGCGCTACCGCCGTTTGCAGTGCAAGGGTTCGAAGCGGCGCCGACTCCTGCCCACGCTATCTTTGATGCCACCGCACAAGCCGGCCGGCTCGTGTTTCGCTCACAATTGCCGCTTCTGACACGCAGCGAGTGCGAAAATGTGCTTGCGCTCGTGCATGCGCACCACGAGGCTGTCCTTGGCGGTGTCTGGGGCACGGTGCGGCACTCGAGCGTCAAGACGACCGACGTGGCGGTCGAAGACATTGCAGCGCTGCGCCCGTGGCTCCGTACTCTGCTCGCAACGCGCGTGTACCCGTTCTTGGCGACGTGCTTTCCAGTCCTCGCCGATGGGTCGAGCATGTTCGATGCCGTGACGCAACAGAGTCGGTGCCGCGTGCACGATGCCTTTATCGTGCGCTACGACGCTGAGCGCGACGGGTCGCTGAGTCTCCCCGAGCACAACGACACGAGCGTCACGAGCGTCGTCATCACGCTCAACGACACCTTTGTCGGTGGCGGCACGTGGTTCGAAGCGCTCGACCAGGTGGTGGACGCCGGCGTCGGGCACGCGGTCGCGTTTGCCGGCCCGCTGCGGCACGCTGGGTACCCGATCTCGAAAGGCACACGCATGATCCTCGTGCTCTTTCTCTACGTGGCCGACTTTGCGTACGGGACGTACCTCGACAACTACGGCGCCACCGAGACGACGACCGCAGCGCGAACGACTCCGTCGGGTGACGCGCCCGGTGGGTTCGTCGTCTACAACCAGACCGTCGAGCTTGTCAACACGCTCAACCAAGGCACGACCATGGACCTCAGCGCGTAGAGTAAACGTCCGCATTTCAATACACATCACCGTGTTCCTTCTCCCGAGGAAGAGTCTCGCTTTCGTATGTACACCAGCAAAAGTACCATGTACTGCCGGCCGATCCACCTCATGTGCAGCTGTGTTATCGACGGCGCCATCCTCCATCCTGGCGGAGAACTTATTTGGAAGATGATAATACTATTATAGTACCATGTTTCGCCACGACACTAGGATGCATCGAGGCGGCATGCGTCGGCTATACCGTCGTCGTCTTGCCCGTGTCGCTATCACCCACAGTCACCGCCACATCATCGTTCGCTTTTCCAGTATATTATTGACCGCACTTCGCGCCGTTGTCACAGCCGCCGCGAGACGTTTTGTTCATTTCGCCGGCGCGGTGGCCGTCGCGCGCGCGCCGAGCGGCCCTACGAGGTAGGTAGAACCCTTGGGCATAGGCCATGCACGTTGGCGTCGGCGCGTTCGTCGTCGTCTGTCGCCCATGTTCAGTCAACTTGGCTCCATTGACCTTCCATTACTCACCACGCATTCTAAAAGAAACCCCACGCGCGGCTGTCGCTTCGAACTTCGCCTCGATCCCATACAAATCGCAAGTGACACTCGAAGGTAGACTTCGAGGTCCATAGGCACGCCATATTAGCTGCATGTTGGTCGATGAGAGTTCATTTGATGTTTGTATGCCGGCGTCGTTAATATGGCAATGGCAATGGAAGTTTTATTTTGACTTTTGCCTCGAACCACCGGATTCGCAGCATGAGCTCCTCGAGCGACGACGAGCGGCCGCCGCCGTACCAGGCGCCATCGCTGCTGCCGTCTGCATTCACGGGCAGCCTCCCGCCGCTGCGCATGATGGACCCGACCACCGCCGGCGACGATGCGGCCAAGCTGCCGGTCTCGATCACGACGGGCACGAGCTTGCTCGCGAGTCTCGTGAAAGCCAAGGCCATGAGCGAAGGCTCCGAGTCCAGCGACGACGACGACGATGATGAGGCAAGCCACGGTGAGAGCCAGCCGCCGTCCGACGACGAGATGCGCGACGACGAAGACGAGCTCGAGCAACTCCTCTTGCAACAGGAAGCCTCGGCGCGGACGGACCCGTCGCGGGCGCTTGACAAGGTACCTCCCACAACCATGCAGCGAACCTTGCAGAACACGGATGCATTGTAGGACAAGGCGACGTCGACGATCTGCGAAGTGTGCCACGAAGACACGTTGAACGCCAAGCGAGCGCTCGTGTGCGCCCAGTGCCACGTTCGCTTCCACACGACGTGCTTTCGGCAAAAGTACGCCAAGCTCATTACGACCAACCACGCGAAAAAGTGGTTCTGCCCCGACTGCGAGCCGATCAAGAAGATGACGCCGATGCCCAAGACCGCTCGGAAAGGGTAGCTAGCCCTCGCTCTTCATCATGTCCTATCGTCGATCTAGTGCCAAGGGCAATGCGCGTTCCAAGGGTGCGACGACACCGACGAAAGCGCCGTCGCCGGCTGCCGCGACGTCGACCAACGACGCCAAGTACGCGCGGCTTGTCGACGTGGCGCTCAAGGCCGGTAAAAAGTTCAATGCGATGATCATCGAGAAGAGCGAAGAGATGCTGCACATGGCCCAGAGCCTCAAGGGCGACGTCGAAGGCCACTTTGCCACGACGGCCCACGACGACGAAGCAACACCGTCGGCAGTGTTGCTGCGCAAGGTGCTCGCAGGTCTCTCGACGCTCGAGTCGGCCCTGTATACGGTCCAATACCAATCGGTGCAAACCGAGGTCGACTTTATCAAAGACGTCAAGTTTCCGCCCAACCTCGAGATGAAGAACCTCGAGAAAGAAGCCAAGGAAGCCGCGAAGGCCAAGCTCAAGGTCAAGACGGGCGGCGGCGCGTCGCGCCTCTACTCGTCGGCGCAGATCCAAAAGCTTGAAGAGTGGTATAGCAAGTCGTCGCGGCCCGAGTCGAGCGAGATCCAGGCCATGTACCGCATCATCAACGCAGCCCAGTACGCGGATCCTGAGCTGCAGCCCGAAGGCATTGCAGTCAAGCAGATCCGCATCTGGTTCGACAACCGACGCGCCAAGGAGCGCCTTGACTACATGCGCCTCAAGATGAAGGACGAAGATACGTCCAACCTCGACAACGAAGACATCAAGAAGCTCCGGGCCGCGTACATTGACGAAGCCAAGGAGGTGCTCGAAGCACGCGTCGCCAAGATGCGCGAAACGAGCGCGGGCGCGATGGAGATTGTCGAGGAGGCCGAGCAGCTCGCGCTAGAACCGTCGGCGTCGGCCACGTTCCCGGTACATTTTTGCTCCTTTTTGCTCATTTTTGCTCATATTTCACGAATCGTGATCGTAGGCGGCCGAGCCTGACGCCGCGCCCGAAGTGGCGAAGCGCAAGGCGCCGGCGCCCGCCACCAAGTCCAAGCAGCGGCTGCGCATGGACCATGTCGCATCGGTGCGCAAGGCCTGCCGACTCGCGCGCGAACAAGGCTTGAGGTATCGCGTCGATGTCAAATAACAACATGTCGCATAGTCGAGTCAATGTAGCGAGGAAGAGGTCAAGGAGATCCGGGCCAAGGCGATGCAGGCGGCGCGCGACCGGCTCTTTTACAACGGCAAGGCGCTCGGGTCGCACCCGCTCACAAAGGACGAGGTCACGGACCTCAAGTTCAAGCTGCTCAAGCTCGTCGAAGAAGACGCGCCGGCCGAAGCCTGCATTGACATTCTCGAGCTCCTTCTTGTACGTACCACGTGCTGGATGTTGACAAGTTGTACAACATATATTGTCGTCTAGTCGGTGGACATTCCGGCCCAAGTGCTCGTCGACACTCGCCTCGACCGCCAGCTCAAGCTCGTGGCCAAGTCGCACCAAGAGAACAAGGAACTCGTCAAACTCGCGACCAAGCTCTCGGATACGATCCAAGCCGTGATTGCGGCGGCCGACGACCCGAACGCGATGCCGGCTCTGGTAAATCGAGTCGAGCATCTGAATCGGAATCTCAATCGATTAGGTCGACACGACACCGTCCGAGGTGAAAGAAGCCGCGCCGACCAAGATTGTCCGGGCCAAATTCAACGTGGCGCAGCTCCGTCTCCTCGAGAAAGCATACAACCTCAACGACGCACCTGACAAGGACCAGCTCCTCAAGCTGCGCATGAAGATGAACAAGGTCTCGGGCGAGTCGTCGTCCGACTACAAGCAACTGCGCTGTTGGTTTTACAAGCGCAAGGCCGCGGGCCATGCACCGAATGCGCTCACGGAAGCGCTCGCGGCCGGCGACGTCAAGCCCATGGATGAAGATGACAGCGAGGTACTTTGCCCGCCGGTTCTCACACCATCAACCCTCGAATGTGTATTGTGTAGGGCGACGAGCTGCCACTCGACGAAGAAAAGCCGCCAGCACCCGTGAGCACGGCCCGGAAGAGCAAGGTCCAAGGCCGCATCTTTAGCGACAAGCAGCTGCAGGTCCTCCATGCGGCGTACGACGCCTCGCCACGCCCTGAAGCAAGCGTGTTTGACGAGCTCCAAGACCAGATGAACATTCTCAGCGAAGACGAGACGTCGGCGATCACAAAGCGCCAGCTCAAAAACTGGTTTTCGAACCGCCGGGCAAAGGACCAAAAGGGCAAGGGTACGACGACTGATGGAGAGGACGGACGATGGTATTGAGGGATATATTTGCGATTCTAGATATGCTCGCAGTCATGGACGACGACAGCAGCGTCAAGACGGATGCGACGCCTGCGAAGCGCACGGACCTCGCCCACATGCTGCTCAACCCGTACGACGAAGACGATGCGATGACGCAGGTACTTCAACAGTCGATGAAGTGCATGGGTGGCGGAGAGTGGATTAGGACTCGGACGACGACGGCAAAGACCACGTCAACGAAGCGATGACCGAGGACGCGTCACCGAAGCGCAAGCGCTCGATCGACGAGTCGTCGCCGTCCAAGAAGCTGAAACATGAAGCGTAGAGATATGAAATTTGGAACGAGTCTGTTGTGTACGAAGTAGACTATGCGACAAGCCACTCCGACAGGCAGTCTCGTGAACGGTGACGAATTTTCCATTTGCACGCGAGACCCAACCCTACCCCTTGCTACTCCCCTGATACTAGGAAGTTTTGACAGTTCTCTGGATCGTCTGTTGCTGTTGCCGAAGCAGAGACCTGTTGGATCTCTGCCCTACTGCGCACAGGACGCGCACCAAGTGCAGCATACCTTGGTCGGTCTTTAGTCGGTCTTTAGTTGGTCTTTAGTCGGTGAGTCTGTGAAACAGAGGACGCGACGATGGCGGCACGACCTCTTCCATCGAAGCCAACCGGTGCTTCCAAAACGCACCTTGCATGCATCGCATTTGATTGGCTGAAATAAAAGCGGACAGGCATGTGATTGGCGCTTCGTTATGGGCGGGACCGCACGCCAACTAAAATGGACGCTTCTGATTCGCGGATACTTGTCTATTTTTCGGCGAATCGCACGGCCCGGAGCCAAAATTCGAACAAGTCGCCAAGATTTCAAGCGACCACGAAGGCAGGATGGCGTGCGCACCGAGCAGCCCCCGCCCGCGCATGCTCGTCGGGAGCCCGCGCAAGCTGCTGAAGACGAAGAAGCTGCTGCGCGGCCATGCGCTCTACAACGCCAAGTACGACTACGTGGAAGATGCGCTCGAGACGACGCTCTCGGCCTCGACGGTCACAACGAGCGACGGCGACTGGAGTGCGGGCAATCGCACCTTGGGCAACACGGGCAGCTTTGCGTTGCAAATGCCGGCACCCATAACGTCGCCCAAGGTGTTGCACCAGGGCCAGTTTCTGCACTGGGCCACGCCGCACGCGCTGCCAACGCGAGCGCGATGCGCCATGACGCCCGACTGCAAGGCGCTCTTGGACCACTTGAACGCGGTTCGAGCTCGCCCGAGCACCGCTGCGCCGTTGGCCTTCACCGTGTTTGATGCGACCGAGGCCCACCGCTGGACTGCGGCGCAGACCGCCTTGGCGTCGCAGTTATGCACCGAGATGATCCCGCTTGTGCCAGCGCCAAGCCCGACGTCGTACAAGGGTCACGTCGCCAAGCACAAGCGCGTCGAAGAGCTCATGGGCTGCCCAAAGACGGTCGCACCGTGGCGCCGCGATGCAGCGACGTCCGCGTGATGACGCCGATGTTCGTCGTTCTTGTTGGTGGTGCTGTCTCTCTGGTCGTCGCTGTACGTGTATTTATTCCCATATATCGTAATTGGATTGTTGTTCTTGACGTGCTCTTGTGGCCATGGCAGCGGTAGCCGAGCTCAAGGTTTGAAAAGGGGTAGGTTCATATATATCTAATAAGCTGTGATGCGTCTACTCGATGGCAGCGCCTTCTTCGGCCGCCATCTTGGTTGCAAGCTTCGACTTGAGGCTCGTTTCCCAGTCGGCCGTCGCAATCGTCACGCTGAGGTACACAACGCCCGCCGCCCATGCGAAAAAGTAAATCCACAGCGCCGCTTGGGAGATGGTCGACATGTACGTGCCTTGGACGATGAGGATCGAGTACCCAATCATAAAGCCGTAGAGCAGAATTGTCTGGAACGGAATGAAGAAGATGTCGCCCCACGAATTCTCGCAGCACACGACGTGGTAGTCGGGACGCGCATCCGGCGCGCGGTAGTCCTTGGTCGGTGCGACCTTTTGGTCGCTCTTGCTTGCCTTGGCGTCTGTCGGCTTGGTCGTCTCGGGCTGGATCTCGACCTTGACGTCGAGCGTGGCGGCCTCTGTCGGCTTGGCCCCCTCGGGCTCGATCTCGACCTTGACGTCCGACGCGACGTCGTTGGCAGCGGCTTCGGTCGACATGCTGGATGTGCTGGCGGCGAGCCAAATTCGAAATGAAAGGCAAAATGGCGAACGGTGCTTTTTCGAAGGCTATTTTTAGCCCGTAAAAATAGACGCGACCCGCCATCTTGATGGGGAAGAGCCGGCGGTTGGCGAGCAACCGGCCACCGACTGGTCGCTAGCTCTAGACAGCGCGAGGTCGCTAGCTGTCGGCAGCGCGAGGTCGGTAGCTCTGGGTAGCTCTGGGTAGCTCTGGGTAGCGAGCTGTTGGTGGCGAGCTCGAGGTGCGCCATGCCACGGTTCGTACCTTGTGCTCTGAAAACGACTTGGACGTCGCCCGATTTCGACGCTGCGAGGTGTAGCCATGCTTGCCTGCACGAAGCTAGCGACCAAGTAAGTGGCTATGGGCATGGCGTCCTGGTACCTTGGTCATGGCTGCCAGCCATCGAGCGTCGGGTTCGTTATCCGCAGCGACGTTGATGAGAGCTAGAAATTAGTGTTCCAGAGGAGCTAGTAGTAGTGTGCTTTGTGCAGTCGACACGTCAAAGCAAAACCATGCGTGTCATTGAGGTGAAGAGTGGCTCTGTCACGCGCGGCCTGTCCAGCGTCTGCGCCAACTCCCAATGCGTGCCCATGCGAGATGCGATGGCCGCGGCGGATCCCTGCATCCGCGATGGCTTTGCAAGCGCAATGCAATTGAGCTAGAATAAAGTAGTAGTGTATTGCAGCGAGCGGCTTATGCGTCGGCCTTTTCCGGCTCCGACTTCTTCGCCGCCGAGACGTTGAGGAAGAAGGTGGCCATGATGAGCGCGAGGACAAAGATGCCAAAGAACATCCAGAGCGCCGCGTTCGAGTTTTGCGTTTGCACGACGGCGTGCAAGAGGAGGCTAAAGAAGCTGGCGACGACCGCGTAGAAGAAGACCAGGAGGCACGGGATCAAGACGAGGTCGCGCGCCGAGATGCCGAGGAAGACGGGCTTGTAGGCACCAGGCGCCGGGCTACCAGCCTTCTCCTTGGCGTCAACGATGGCCGCGTAGTCGGTCGTCACGGGGGTCATCGGCGGCGCAGACATGGTAACGTTAGCACGAGTAGGTCGGCTCGACGGGCGCAAATCCAAAAATGCCACCTTGTATATCTAGGTTCGGGCGATGTGGAATGGGTCCTAATTAGGACTGAGCCGAAAGGCCTCGTTTGCGTATTTAATACAGGTATACTTTATTATTGTATGCAAAATAAAAATAGATGTATTTTATACGCAGGACGCTCCTTGTAAGTAACGAGTGTTCCTGGGATGTGGCGTGGATTCTGGCAGGTGTCTGGGAACCAACGGAGCCGGCCAACTGAACACACGCGTTTCGCGTGGAGTGGACTTTAGCAAAGGGCTGCGAGGTCAGCGGGATGCAAAGGACACATTGCTTGGCAATGCACTCGAGTCGAACCATGCTCGCAGACCGCGACCAAGACTCTGTATGACACTCTGTTTCACAAAATCCGCGGTTGGATTAAAGTGTCGGATATTGAACTTTATTTCTCCAATACGTCTCATCAAGACTCAAAATGACGTCATCAAAAGACAGTTTTGAGAAATGCGCGTTCTATTTATAGCGTCGGGTCAATTTGGCGCGAAAACCTAACGTTGGCGCCGACGTCTAAGCTTTGGCCAGATCAAAAATGGGAGAGACCCATCGACAATATAGGTATCGCGAATGCATTCATGCTTTATGCAGACGGCGCAAGCGCACCTTGCACATCGATTATATGAATGGCGCCTTCAACTATATATCCCGTTCACTATAGTTCACGTCAATCTTATCGTGCAGGATTTTCTCGGGTGCAGGATCCGACAATAGCAACAAAAACCGACGTTGCGAACGATACCTGCCAAAATTCTTAGCGCCATGATTCCTCGGATACAAGGCGGTGGCCGCGCCGACTCGCTGCGCAAGATCGACGCGTTCGTCTCGACGTTACCACCCCGCGTCGACATGCACTCGGAGCTCGGCGTCGACATCCTTCTCAACGTCTTTTCCGGGTTTGAACCGTCCGGGCCGTACGTGGCTGTCGGGAGTGACCGCGAGTACGAAGCGCTCCAGCTCGCACAGCTGCACGCCGCACTCTCAGAGCCATCGACGCAGAAAGGCTCGTGGCACACAAAAATGTCACGGCTCGACGCAGCACTGATTGACAAGCCAGCCCGCTTGAGCAACAAGGTATAGCGACACCTACACGCGGATACCATGGCTTTGTTGGTCGTAGCGCGATAGTTTACATGCAGTGTACGGCCTCCATGCGCGGTCGCGCAAGCAGTCGATACGAGCGCGGCGACAGGGCACCCAGCGCGTCCTCCTCGGTACGATGGGGGGGTCGTCCAAGATGGATCTCAAGGCGCTCGCGGCCGCCGAGGTGCACACGCGCCTCACGGAGCTGTTTGACCTCAGCGCCGGCGCGAACAACGCGGTGCTGGACCGGCACAAGTGCCACGTCATGAGTATCTGCATCGCCAAGCAAATGGGCAACACCGTGCAGCGGAAGAGCCGCTTCAAAGCGTCAATGGCATGGACGCCCGAAGCGGTCGAAGATCTCCTTTTCGCAGTCTCTTGCAGCCTTTCCACACGAATAAATATGGACACATTGTCTGCGGATAGGGCGACGACACGATCGATGCGCAGCGGTTCTGCGACCGGTTCCTGCTGGTGTGTGCTCTAAAAGCATCGACGCGGCATGCTGACAAGGCTGTAGGCGACCGAGATGGTGACCGCGTCGAGCACCAACCGCGACCACATTGCGTTGATCGACAACATTTACACGGACGTGGCGTCCGAGATAGAGATTGCGGCGACGACCGAGTGTCCGAAACCTGCGCCCACCAATGCATCTACGTCGAGTCGGAGCCCCAGACCGCACGAACCCAAGCGCACCGTGCTGCCCAAAGGAGGTCCGATCAAGCCGATCGGCATTGGGCGAGCGTCGCCGCGTAAAGCCACCCACGTGATCCAAGAGATTTTGGCACCGACAACCAGCATGACACCGCGGCAACCGGCATCCCGTCCCGTGGCCGACAAGATGCATGAGGAGCGAACAACGTCCCAGGTCTTGCAGGAACGTCTGGACGCACTACAAGAGAATCGACGCAGCATCTTTCAGGCCAACTCAAAACAAGCACATGGACGACTCATGTCCAAGGTCAAGCCCCATCCACCCAGTCTCGACGACGATGTCGATCTGCAAGAGTGCAAAGTCATGACCTTTTCATTTGGCAAACTCAAATTAGGACCCACATCCTAAGTGTTTAGACAGCAAAATAGTCGTTTGTGGGCTCTTCAACGCTGTCGCCTTCGGTTGATCCCGCGTCGTCCATCCTGGTGTCACTAGCCATTCGGGCGACCTTGGCGTTTGTCAACCCTCGGTTTGGATGTGTGGCTACAAGCACGCAACTTTAGCCGGTGTGGTGACTCACCGCACCAGCTAATCCCAGCCTGGGCTAATCCTAGCTCATCACTGGTGAGCTTGGGGTTTACGGTGCGGCTGCATCGTAGCAGTACTCCTGACGGCTCGCCAGACCCAGTCCCGTAGCGATACCGAGTCCAGACGTCGCTTCCAAAGCCATTTAGAGTCGACTGTCGCAGCGACCACCGTCTGCATCGAGCTCGACAGCGTCGCAATAGGCCAAGACACACCGATCACGGCGATGCAGTAGGACGGGGGCCATAGACGTCGACGTCTCGACTGGTGCTCTGAGGACAAGGAAACCACACTCAACTAATATTACTGCTTGTTGTGCTTACTGCGAGTTGACGCCGGTCGGGTGCGACGGAATGTACTTGACTTCGGTAAACATTTGGTCGGCAATCGCGCAGAGACGCTCGTCCTTCTTCTTGTGCGTGCGGATCGCGCGGAGCTCGACCAGAATCTTGTCGCTGGCGTACTCGGCAAAGAGCGACGCAAGCGCCTGCTCGTGGGCGGCGGTCGGCGTCTTCTCGTTGAGCGCCGTCGTCGCACGCGAGATGGTCGCCGTCATCGCAAACAGCTGAATGGCCGCATCGGCGACGCGCTTCATCTGGAGCTGCTCGTGAATAATGTTCTTGCCGTGCTTGCGCAGCAACGTCTCAATGATGTCACCAAACTCGGCGGTCCGCGCCTGGAGGAGCTCGGCCGACGCCTTCAAGTTGGGGTGCACCCCTTCCAGCGGCGTCTTCTTGAGGTTGAGCTTCTTCTGGACGCGGTCCGAGATCTCGGACGCAATCGCAGCCGGGTCCTGGAACGGGTTCTGGAAGAGGCTGCCGACCACCGAGAGGCGCTCGCCGGCCGTCTTGACGCCCGAGAGCGCGATCAACATGCGCAAGATCTCGTTGGTGCCCTCGAAAATCGACAGAATCCGCGCGTCGCGCATGTAGCGCTCAAACGGCCAGTCCTTCATGAAGCCCGTGCCGCCCATGACCTGGATGGCTTCGTTGATGCCGTTGAAGGCGGCCTCCGAGCCGTACACCTTGCACATGGCGGCTTCGATCTCGCAGAACGGGTCGCCGCGGTCAATCATACCGGTCGTCATGTACGCCATGCTCTCAATCGCATACGTCTGCAGCGCAAGGTTGCCAAACTTCTCCTTGATAAGGCCAAACGACGAGAGCGTCGAGCCAAACTGCTTGCGCGTCGTCGCATGCTCGGCCGCCATGTTGATGACACGGCGGAGGTTGCCGCCGGACGCCGCGCCGATACCAAACCGACCGTTGTTGAGGATGTTCATGGCCACCTTGAAGCCGTGGCCGACGCCTGCGATACCGCCGGTCTTGCCGTCGGCGCCGCCACCGAGCACGTTCTCGACAGGGATCTTGACGTTGTCAAAGAACACTTGGCACGTGTTGGAGCCGCGGATACCGAGCTTGTCCTCGGGCGGGCCGCTCGTGACGCCGCCAAACGCACGCTCGACGATGAACGCAGTCACCTTGTCCTTGCCACCGACGTTGGTCTGGGCAAAGACCGTCATGACCTCGGCCCAGCCGCCGTTCGAGATCCAAATCTTGCCGCCGTTCAGGATGAAGTGCGTCTTGTCTTCCGAGAGGACCGCGCGCGTCTGGATCGACTGCGCGTCCGAGCCCGAGCTCGGCTCGGTGAGCACAAACGCGGCCATTTGCTCGCCGGTCGCGAGCTTCGGAAGGTACTTCTCCTTTTGCGCGTCGTTGCCGTTGAGCAGAATGCCCTTGAGACCGATCGACTGGTGCGCCATGAGCGTGACCGCGATCGAGCCGTCAATGAGCTCTTCGCACACGCGCGCGTAGCCCGTGTTGCTGAGGCCGAGGCCGTTGAGCTCTTCCGGGATCTGGAGGCCAAAGAGGCCGAGTTCCTTGAGGTTGTCCATGGTCTCGGCCGGGATCGTCTTGGTCTCGTCAATCTTGCGGCCATCGATCGTCTCGAACGTCTTGATGACCGGGTCGACGAGCATCTGGAGCGTCGCGACCTCGTCTTCCGAGAGCTTGGGGTACGGGAACGCGAGCTTGGCGTTGTTGACGCCGAGGAAGAGCCCGCGCGTGTAGCTCACGCCCGACGCGGCCTCGTCCGCGCTCTTGAGCTTTGGCGTCTCCTTCGAAGCGAAGGCGCGGGTCGCGCGGGGCGCCAGGCGGCGCGTCAAGCGGGCAGCAGCAAGGACCATCGGGCTGGCGGCGAATCTCGAAATGAGCGTCAGTGAAATCCAAAACTTCAACGCCCCACGGATTCCTCGGCTTCTGATTGGCGCTCTCGTATCCGGATCCGGAATCTCGCGTCGCGATTGGCCAATCCGGACCGCACGTTGAACGGGCGGTCGCCATCCGTGTTGATGCAACAAGTTGACTTGACAAACCATTAACTCCACCCCGAGCGCTGCTGACGCCAAGAGCGTCAATGTATAAATCGTAAATGGGCTACATGAAGAGTATGGGAGGCAGAGGCCAAAGGCGGTTTAGGAATCTAGCCTAGTCGCCGGCTAGGAACGGCAGAGTCTTGGAGAAAAGCCACCGAGGCGGGGCTGGTGCGAGTGAAGAGGCTGCTTGCCGTCGTCAGTAGACTATGGCAGACGCGAGCGATGAAGAGGAACATTGGCGACCGATGAACGTCGATATATGGTCGGTCGATCGTGAACTTGGTGCGTGACGCGATCCGGTGCATCCGTCGTAGCAGCTGGTGGCGCCAACTGCAACAACTGGTCCCACGCTGTCGCGTGTTGCATAAGTGCTTGCACATGACGGCGCGGCCACAGCTCGTCGTTGCCGGAGTACTGCGCCATAGGCCCGCCTTCCTTTAGCTTGGCGCCTGGGTACTTGCCGCCGCGCCACCACGAGCAGGCAGGCCTTGGACTCTGTCGAGCTGTGCCATAGCCAACGGACCTTGCAGTGGCACAAGGTGGCGTCGTTCAGGTTCTCGCTCATGTTGCCAGCTCATTGCGTCGTGCCAGAAGGAGACCAGTCGCTGCCGCGAAGTTACGGTTGAGCAACGGGCTCTTGGCGCTGGCTACGCTTACGCGATGCATGCAAAATAGAAGCGTTGATCATGGATGACTGTGGTGTGTTGCGTTAAGTTGCGCTCTCGGAGTATGGAGCGTGTCGTTGTTAAGTTGGATTTGGTGCAAAGTCAAGATCTCGAAAAGAGCTTGAAACGGCGCAGTGAGCAAACGGCAGCCATGGGCGGTGGCATCTCGACGAACGGCGACCTCGGGCAGATGATCGCGTGCACGATGCTCATCGGCGAAGCCATGTTCCAGGGTATTGACCCGCGCTACATCCGCTTCCCAGGTACGTCGACCATGCAGCAGCATGCACGGACCATTAGTGTAGACATGTACCGCCTGTATGACTTTCACGTGGGCAAGAAGCGCTACCGGACCGCCAAGCCTCAAGGTGCAACCATCATGCTCATTGGGAGCGACGGCGTCGCGCGCGTCGTTGAGAAGAAGGCCGACGACGCCGCGGCGTCACCCGTGATCGACGCCGAGCCCGATATCGACGAGACCGACGTCGACAAGTACCTCGTGGTCAACGTCGCCGATGACCGCGTGGTGCTGGACCGAGCACGGCTCTTTTCGCCCAACGAAGACGGCTGGACGCCACTGCACGCGAGCTGCCATACGCTCAACACGGTCGACGCAGGCAAGGTAATCTTGAAGGCGATGCTCGAGATGGACCGCGAGAAGACCGCGACTGTGCTTGCCACCAAGACGACGCGCGGCCCTGGGTCCTTCTCGGCAGGCTTTACGCCCCTTCACATTGCCTGTAACCTCCAACTCCCTGTGGACGCTAGGACGTAATCGCTATTGGCTTAGGCGCCTATGGCATCGAAGTGCTCGCACTCAAGCTCATCAAGGCCAAGTCGAATGTCAACGCGACCAACTCGGTTAGTTGGAGCCCACTGCACGAAGCGTGCCATCGCGGTTTCGTTTCGATTGCCAAGGAGCTCTTGCGAGCTGGTACGACCTACGTTTTCACCAGCACTACGATCTTATACCTATATGTAGGCGCCGATCCAACCGCGGTCTGCCCCGAGTTTGCACTTTGCCCGTTTGCGGGACAGACGCCACTTGGCGAAGCGGCGCGGCAAGGCCACGTCGACGTCGTCAAGGTATTCCCTTGTTGCGAATACGGTGCGCTATGACCTGTACTAGCTGCTTCTCGACCACGGCGTTGATATGAACGCGGTCAACGCGCTGCACTGGACAGCTTTGCATGAAGCCGCCTATCACAACCGCAGCGAGATCGTGCGCGTACGTGTTTGCTCAATATAATGGCAGAGATGTCGAGTCGAGGGAGCTAGACGCTGGTGGTGCATGGCGCCGACGTGCTTGTGAAGACGTCGCGGGGTGCGATCGCGGCCCAGCTCACCATCTCGATGGAGATCAAGACAATGCTGGACGACGTCGGCGAGGCCCAAGCTGCGAGTCCGAAGAAACCACCGGCGTCAAATCCCCCGAGCGCGTCGTCGTCGTCACCGCCAAAGGAAAAGCCACATGTGCCCATCGTGCCGCTCTCTCGGAAGGAAGATTTCGCGCTGCTTGGGGACCTCCCGGCGCTCCAGCGACTGAGCATGCCACCCGAGACGGACCGCCGCCCGGATGCCACACAAGTCGCAGACGACCCGCCCGTCAAGACCAAGAAGAAGAAGAGCGCCAAAGGACGCAAAACACCGAGTGACGAGGATGTGCCGACGGAATTCCGGTGCGCGATCACGAAAAAGCTGCTCCAGGACCCTCTGAAATCGCCGTACGGCCACGTCTTTGAGCGCAAGGTACACGGCATATTGTGCGTTTGAAAGTCGTATTTTGAGATGGCTCTAGGTGGTTGAAAAATGGTTCAACAACTATGGCAGCCGGTGCCCCGTAACGGGCGAGCCGCTCGGCCTCGGGCAACTCGTGCCGGACGAAGCGCTCAAGACCGAGATTTCCGCCTGGCTTGCACCCGACAGCCCAAAACACCAACCGGGGACGGTCGCCGACGCCGCCAAGCTCGACGATGCCAAGGCCGTCGACGCGAAGCGTGAAGAAGACTTGTACGATTTCTAATGACAAAACATTGACGCGCGTGTGTCATAACGCACTGTGTGACATTGCTAGCCAATACGGGAGATGCCTCTGCTTACCACCTGCAATGCTAGCGCTCTTGGTGGACGCAAAGGTGGAAGGTTTTGTCTGCTGCTAGAAAGGCCACTATGAAACGGCGCACCGGTTATAACCGATAATGAGCCGCGTTGGGCCCCAGGTGGGGACGGGCAGCGTCCGCCTCGCCGGGCCAGTGCTGCCACTGCACGTCGTGACCACGCGCCAGCGCCTTGTTGCAGGCGCAAGTCTTGTCTACGTTATCGCGTCGCTCGCCGCCGGCGTCCGGTACCTGCAGTTGCTCCAGCCCAGCTTCGCCAACGACCTGTGGTGGGCCGGCTACAACGTGTCGGGCCACCAAGCTTTTCTCGTCGACCTCGTCAACCAGTTCTTATCCACGCAAGCCAATGGCTCGCTCGATCTTCTCGCGCCCACGTCGGTCGTGGCCAAGACGTACGCGAGCGCCGAGTCCAACACGAGCATCTACCCTTCGTACATGCGGCGTTTGCTCCTCGGCGAGCTCACGTCCATCGAGTACGC